TGGCGACCTACGCACTGCTTGACCCCCACGTGACCCCCACGTGACCCCCACGTGACCCCCACGTGACCCCCACGTGACCTCTGTGTGACCCCAGGCTCAGCACAACACCAGGATGCTGGCGACCTATGCACTGCTTGACCCCCACGTGACCCCCACGTGACCTCTCTATGACCCCCACGTGACCTCTATGACCTCTCTATGACCCCAGGCTCAGCACAACACAAGGATGCTGGCGACCTACGCACTGCTTGACCCCCACGTGACCCCCACGTGACCCCCACGTGACCCCCACATGACCTCTGTGTGACCCCAGGCTCAGCACAGCACCAGGATGCTGGCGACCTACGCACTGCTTGACCCCCACGTGACCCCCATGTGACCCCCACGTGACCTCTCTATGACCCCCACGTGACCTCTATGACCTCTCTATGACCCCAGGCTCAGCACAACACCAGGATGCTGGCGACCTACGCACTGCTTGACCCCCACGTGACCCCCACGTGACCCCCACGTGACCTCTATGACCCCACGTGACCCCCACGTGACCTCTGTGTGACCCCAGGCTCAGCACAACACCAGGATGCTGGCGACCTACGCACTGCTTGACCCCCACGTGACCCCCACGTGACCCCCACGTGACCTCTATGACCCCCACGTGACCCCCATGTGACCTCTGTGTGACCCCAGGCTCAGCACAACACCAGGATGCTGGCGACCTACGCACTTGTTGACCCCCACGTGACCCCCACGTGACCCCCACGTGACCCCACGTGACATCTCTGACCACCACGTGACCTCTGTGTGACCCCAGGCTCAGCACAACACCAGGATGCTGGCGACCTACGCACTTGTTGACCCCCACGTGACCCCCACGTGACCCCCACGTGACCCCACGTGACATCTCTATGACCCCCACGTGACCTCTGTGTGACCCCAGGCTCAGCACAACACCAGGATGCTGGCGACCTACGCACTTGTTGACCCCCACGTGACCCCCACGTGACCCCCACGTGACCCCACGTGACCTCTCTATGACCCCCACGTGACCTCTGTGTGACCCCAGGCTCAGCACAACACCAGGATGCTGGCGACCTACGCACAGCTTGACCCTCGCGTCCAGATCCTCGGATACACCCTCAAGGTGTTCGCCAAGGTGACTCACTTAGACACACTTAGATAGACACACTCACACTTAGATAGACACTCACTTAGACACTCGGATACACCCTCAAGGTGTTCGCCAAGGTGACTCACTTAGACACTCTTAGATAGACACTCACACTTAGATAGACACACTCACTTAGACACTCGGATACACCCTCAAGGTGTTCGCCAAGGTGACTCACTTAGACACACTTAGATAGACACTCTCACTTAGACACACTCACACTTAGACACTCGGATACACCCTCAAGGTGTTCGCCAAGGTGACTCACTTAGACACACTTAGATAGACACACTCACACTTAGATAGACACTCACTTAGACACTCGGATACACCCTCAAGGTGTTCGCCAAGGTGACTCACTTAGACACTCTTAGATAGACACTCACACTTAGATAGACACACTCACTTAGACACTCGGATACACCCTCAAGGTGTTCGCCAAGGTGACTCACTTAGACACACTTAGATAGACACACTCACTTAGACACACTCACACTTAGACACTCGGATACACCCTCAAGGTGTTCGCCAAGGTGACTCACTTAGACACACTTAGATAGACACACTCACACTTAGATAGACACTCACTTAGACACTCGGATACACCCTCAAGGTGTTCGCCAAGGTGACTCACTTAGACACACTTAGATAGACACTCACACTTAGATAGACACACTCACTTAGACACTCGGATACACCCTCAAGGTGTTCGCCAAGGTGACTCACTTAGACACTCTTAGATAGACACACTCACTTAGACACTCGGATACACCCTCAAGGTGTTCGCCAAGGTGACTCACTTAGACACTCTTAGATAGACACACTCACTTAGACACTCGGATACACCCTCAAGGTGTTCGCCAAGGTGACTCACTTAGACACTCTTAGATAGACACACTCACTTAGACACTCGGATACACCCTCAAGGTGTTCGCCAAGGTGACTCACTTAGACACACTTAGATAGACACACTCACTTAGACACTCGGATACACCCTCAAGGTGTTCGCCAAGGTGACTCACTTAGACACTCTTAGATAGACACACTCACTTAGACACTCGGATACACCCTCAAGGTGTTTGCCAAGGTGACTCACTTAGACACTCTCTTAGATAGACACACTCACACTTAGACACTTGGATACACCCTCAAGGTGTTCGCCAAGGTGACTCACTTAGACACTCTCACTTAGACACACTCACACTTAGACACTTGGATACACCCTCAAGGTGTTCGCCAAGGTGACTCACTTAGACACACTTAGATAGACACTCACACTTAGATAGACACTCACTTAGACACTCGGATACACCCTCAAGGTGTTCGCCAAGGTGACTCACTTAGACACTCTCACTTAGACACTCTCTTAGATAGACACACTTAGATAGAGACTCACTTAGACACTCGGATACACCCTGAAGGTGTTCGCCAAGGTGACTCACTTAGACACTCTCTTAGATAGACACACTCACTTAGACACTCGGATACACCCTCAAGGTGTTCGCCAAGGTGACTCACTTAGACACTCTTACTTAGACACTCTCACTTAGACACACTCACACTTAGACACTTGGATACACCCTCAAGGTGTTCGCCAAGGTGACTCACTTAGACACACTTAGATAGACACTCACACTTAGATAGACACTCACTTAGACACTCGGATACACCCTCAAGGTGTTCGCCAAGGTGACTCACTTAGACACTCTTAGATAGACACTCACACTTAGATAGACACACTCACTTAGACACTCGGATACACCCTCAAGGTGTTCGCCAAGGTGACTCACTTATACACTCTTAGATAGACACACTCACTTAGACACTCGGATACACCCTCAAGGTGTTCGCCAAGGTGACTCACTTAGACACTCTTAGATAGACACACTCACTTAGACACTCGGATACACCCTCAAGGTGTTCGCCAAGGTGACTCACTTAGACACTCTTAGATAGACACACTCACTTAGACACTCGGATACACCCTCAAGGTGTTCGCCAAGGTGACTCACTTAGACACTCTTAGATAGACACACTCACTTAGACACTCGGATACACCCTCAAGGTGTTCGCCAAGGTGACTCACTTAGACACTCTTAGATAGACACACTCACTTAGACACTCGGATACACCCTCAAGGTGTTTGCCAAGGTGACTCACTTAGACACTCTCTTAGATAGACACACTCACTTAGACACTTGGATACACCCTCAAGGTGTTCGCCAAGGTGACTCACTTAGACACTCTTACTTAGACACTCTCACTTAGACACACTCACACTTAGACACTTGGATACACCCTCAAGGTGTTCGCCAAGGTGACTCACTTAGACACACTTAGATAGACACTCACACTTAGATAGACACTCACTTAGACACTCGGATACACCCTCAAGGTGTTCGCCAAGGTGACTCACTTAGACACTCTCACTTAGACACTCTCTTAGATAGACACACTTAGATAGAGACTCACTTAGACACTCGGATACACCCTGAAGGTGTTCGCCAAGGTGACTCACTTAGACACTCTCTTAGATAGACACACTCACTTAGACACTCGGATACACCCTCAAGGTGTTCGCCAAGGTGACTCACTTAGACACTCTTACTTAGACACTCTCACTTAGACACACTCACACTTAGACACTTGGATACACCCTCAAGGTGTTCGCCAAGGTGACTCACTTAGACACACTTAGATAGACACTCACACTTAGATAGACACTCACTTAGACACTCGGATACACCCTCAAGGTGTTCGCCAAGGTGACTCACTTAGACACTCTTAGATAGACACTCACACTTAGATAGACACACTCACTTAGACACTCGGATACACCCTCAAGGTGTTCGCCAAGGTGACTCACTTATACACTCTTAGATAGACACACTCACTTAGACACTCGGATACACCCTCAAGGTGTTCGCCAAGGTGACTCACTTAGACACTCTTAGATAGACACACTCACTTAGACACTCGGATACACCCTCAAGGTGTTCGCCAAGGTGACTCACTTAGACACTCTTAGATAGACACACTCACTTAGACACTCGGATACACCCTCAAGGTGTTCGCCAAGGTGACTCACTTAGACACTCTTAGATAGACACACTCACTTAGACACTCGGATACACCCTCAAGGTGTTCGCCAAGGTGACTCACTTAGACACTCTTAGATAGACACACTCACTTAGACACTCGGATACACCCTCAAGGTGTTTGCCAAGGTGACTCACTTAGACACTCTCTTAGATAGACACACTCACTTAGACACTTGGATACACCCTCAAGGTGTTCGCCAAGGTGACTCACTTAGACACTCTCACTTAGACACACTCACACTTAGACACTTGGATACACCCTCAAGGTGTTCGCCAAGGTGACTCACTTAGACACTCTTAGATAGACACTCACACTTAGATAGACACTCACTTAGACACTCGGATACACCCTCAAGGTGTTCGCCAAGGTGACTCACTTAGACACTCTCACTTAGACACTCTCTTAGATAGACACACTTAGATAGAGACTCACTTAGACACTCGGATACACCCTGAAGGTGTTCGCCAAGGTGACTCACTTAGACACTCTCTTAGATAGACACACTCACTTAGACACTCGGATACACCCTCAAGGTGTTCGCCAAGGTGACTCACTTAGACACTCTTACTTAGACACACTCACACTTAGACACTTGGATACACCCTCAAGGTGTTCGCCAAGGTGACTCACTTAGACACACTTAGATAGACACTCACACTTAGATAGACACTCACTTAGACACTCGGATACACCCTCAAGGTGTTCGCCAAGGTGACTCACTTAGACACTCTCACTTAGACACTCTCTTAGATAGACACACTTAGATAGAGACTCAGTTAGACACTCGGATACACCCTGAAGGTGTTCGCCAAGGTGACTCACTTAGACACTCTCACTTAGACACACTCACTTAGACACTTGGATACACCCTCAAGGTGTTCGCCAAGGTGACTCACTTAGACACTCTCTTAGATAGACACTCTCACACTTAGACACTCTCACTTAGACACACTCACTTAGACACTCAGATACACCCTCAAGGTGTTCGCCAAGGTGACTCACTTAGACACTCTTACTTAGACACACTCACACTTAGACACTCTTAGATAGACACTCACATAGACACACACTTAGACACTCGGATACACCCTCAAGGTGTTCGCCAAGGTGACTCACTTAGACACTCTTAGATAGACACACTCACACTTAGACACTCTCTTAGATAGACACACTCACACTTAGACACTCACTTAGACACTCTCTTAGATATACACACACACTTAGATAGAGACTCACTTAGACACTCGGATACACCCTCAAGGTGTTCGCCAAGGTGACTCACTTAGACACTCTTAGATAGACACTCACACTTAGATAGACACTCACACTTAGATAGACACTCACTTAGACACTCGGATACACCCTCAAGGTGTTCGCCAAGGTGACTCACTTAGACACTCTTAGATAGACACACTCACACTTAGATAGACACTCACACTTAGATAGACACTCACTTAGACACTCTTAAATAGACACTCACACTTAGATAGACACACTCACTTAGACACTCGGATACACCCTGAAGGTGTTCGCCAAGGTGACTCACTTAGACACTCTTACTTAGACACACTCACTTAGATAGACACTCACTTAGATAGACACACTCACACTTAGACACTCTCTTAGATAGACACTCACACTTAGACACTCACTTAGACACTCGGATACACCCTGAAGGTGTTCGCCAAGGTGACAACACTTAGACACTCTCACTTAGACACTCTCACTTAGATAGACACTCTCTTAGATAGACACTCTCACTTAGACACTCTCACTTAGACACTCTCACTTAGATAGACACTCTCTTAGATAGACACTCTCACTTAGACACTCTCACTTAGACACTCTCACTTAGACACTCTCACTTAGACACACACTTAGATAGACACACACTTAGACACACACTTAGATAGACACTCACTTAGACACTCAGATACACCCTGAAGGTGTTCGCCAAGGTGACAACACTTAGACACTCTTACTTAGACACTCTCACTTAGACACTCTCACTTAGACACACTCACTTAGACACTCGGATACACCCTCAAGGTGTTCGCCAAGGTGACAACACTTAGACACTCTCACTTAGACACTCTCACTTAGATAGACACTCTCTTAGATAGACACTCTCACTTAGACACTCTCACTTAGACACTCTCACTTAGATAGACACTCTCACTTAGACACTCGGATACACCCTGAAGGTGTTCGCCAAGGTGACTCACTTAGACACTCTTAGATAGACACTCTTAGATAGACACTCACTTAGACACTCACTTAGATAGACACTCACACTTAGACACTCAGATACACCCTCAAGGTGTTCGCCAAGGTGAGAACACTTAGACACTCTTACTTAGACACTCTTAGATAGACATTCACATAGATAGACACTCACTTAGACACTCGGATACACCCTCAAGGTGTTCGCCAAGGTGACAACACTTACTTAGACACTCTTAGATAGACATTCACTTAGATAGACACTCACTTAGACACTCTTACTTAGACACTCTCACACTTAGATAGACACACACTTAGACACTCGGATACACCCTCAAGGTGTTCGCCAAGGTGACAACACTTACTTAGACACTCTTAGACACTCACTTAGATAGACACTCACTTAGACACTCTTACTTAGACACTTAGACACACACAGATAGACACTCACACAGTGAGACACTCACACTTAGACACACTCACACTTAGACACTTACACTTAGACACACACACTTAGACACACACTCACACTTAGACACTTACACTTAGACACTTACACTTAGACACACAGTGAGACACTCACTTAGACACTCGCACAGTGAGACACTCACAGTGAGACACACAGTGAGACACTAACACACTTAGACACACACACTTAGACACACTCACACACACTTAGACACTCACACTTAGACACACTCACACTTAGACACTCACACTTAGACACTCACACTTAGACACTCACACTTAGACACTCACACTTAAACACTCACACTTAGACACACTTAGACACTTAGAGAGATACACTTAGACACTCACACATAGACACACACACAGACACACTTAGACACTCACACAGATAGACACACTTAGACACAGACACACACACAGACACACACACAGTGACACTCACACTTAGACACTCACACACATAGACACTTAGACACTCACAGATAGACACACACACAGTGAGACACTCACACAGACACAAAGAACAAATATCCCCCGTATAGCCTTAACAGACTGTAGGGGCAAGTGCTGTTAGCGAACACACACACACACAGACACACACACAGACACACACACACAGTGACACACACAGTCACACACACACACACAGTGACACACACACACACAGTCACACACACAGACAGTCACACACACACAGTCACACACACACAGTCACACACACACACAGTGACACACACAGTCACACACACACACACAGTGACACACACACACACACAGTCACACACACACACACAGTCACACACACACAGACAGTCACACACACACAGTCACACACACACAGTCACACACACACACAGTCACACACACACAGTGACACACACACAGTGACACACACACAGTGACACACACACAGTGACACACACACACAGACACACACAGACAGTCACACACAGACAGTCACACACACACAGTGACACACACAGTGACACACACACAGTGACACACACACACACACAGTGACACACACACAGTCACACACACACACAGACACACACACAGTCACACACACACACAGTGACACACACACACACAGACACACACACACACAGTGACACACACACACACACAGTGACACACACACACACAGACACACACACACACACAGTGACACACACACACAGTGACACACACACACAGACACACAACAAAGACAAAGATCCCCCGTATAGCCTTAACAGACTGTATGGGCAAGTGCTGTTAGCGAACACACACACAGTCACACACACACAGTCACACACACAGTCACACACACACACAGACAGTCATACACACACAGTGACACACAAAGACAAAGATCTCCCGTGTAGCCTTAACAGACTGTAGGGGCAAGTGCTGTTAGCGAGCACCTATGAAGGCCGGAACGGTACACGAGGGGGTGGGTGGCCAGCACCACGCCCGGCCGCCTTTGTCTTCCTAGTGGCAATGTTTACACACCGCACCAGGTACTCATTTGAGGCTGAGTCGACCTAGGGGAGGCCCGGGACCGGTTCAGATAATCGTCACTGGTGTTGGCCGTGAGCGGTGTATGTCACCGTGTGTGTGTGTGTGTCACTGTGTGTGTGTCACTGTGTGTGTGTGTCTGTGTGTGTGTGTCTGTGTGTGTGTCACTGTGTGTGTGTGTGTCTGTGTGTGTGTCACTGTGTGTGTGTCTGTGTGTGTGTGTCACTGTGTGTGTCACTGTGTGTGTGTGTCACTGTGTGTGTGTGTCACTGTGTGTGTGTGTCACTGTGTGTGTGTCACTGTGTGTGTGTGTCACTGTGTGTATGTGTGTCTGTGTGTGTGTCACTGTGTGTGTGTGTGTCACTGTGTGTGTGTGTCACTGTGTGTGTGTGTGTCACTGTGTGTGTGTCACTGTGTGTGACACTATATATATGTGACACTGTGTGTGTCTCTAGGTGTGTGACATTGGTGATGCTTCCCGTGGATCTCTCTCCTCCTACGGCTACATCCTGATGTGTCACACTGTGTGTGTGTGGGTGTCACTGTGTGTGTGTGTCACTGTGTGTGTGTGTCACTGTGTGTGTGTAACACTATATATGTATGTGTGTCTCTAGGTGTGTGATATTGGCGATGCTTCCCGTGGATCTCTCTCCTCCTACGGCTACATCCTGATGTGTGACACTATATATATGTGTAACACTGTGTGTGTGACACTATGTATCACTGTGTGTGTCTCTAGGTGTGTGATATTGGTGATGCTTCCCGTGGATCTCTCTCCTCCTACGGCTACATCCTGATGTGTCACTGTGTGTGTCACTGTGTGTGTGTGTGTCACTGTGTGTGTCTCTAGGTGTGTGATATTGGTGATGCTTCCCGTGGATCTCTCTCCTCCTACGGCTACATCCTGATGTGTCACACTGTGTGTGTGTCACTGTGTGTGTGTGTCACTGTGTGTGTGTCACTGTGTGTGTGTGTCACTGTGTGTGTGTGTGTCACTGTGTGTGTGTGTGTCACTGTGTGTGTCACTAGGTGTGTGACATTGGTGATGCTTCCCGTGGATCTCTCTCCTCCTACGGCTACATCCTGATGTGTCACTGTGTGTGTCACTGTGTGTGTGTGTCACTGTGTGTGTCACTAGGTGTGTGACATTGGTGATGCTTCCCGTGGATCTCTCTCCTCCTACGGCTACATCCTGATGTGTGACACTATATATATGTGTAACACTGTGTGTGTGACACTATGTATCACTGTGTGTGTCTCTAGGTGTGTGATATTGGTGATGCTTCCCGTGGATCTCTCTCCTCCTACGGCTACATCCTGATGTGTCACTGTGTGTGTCACTGTGTGTGTGTGTGTCACTGTGTGTGTCACTAGGTGTGTGACATTGGTGATGCTTCCCGTGGATCTCTCTCCTCCTACGGCTACATCCTGATGTGTCACTGTGTGTGTCACTGTGTGTGTGTGTGTGTGTCACTGTGTGTGTCACTAGGTGTGTGACATTGGTGATGCTTCCCGTGGATCTCTCTCCTCCTACGGCTACATCCTGATGTGTCACTGTGTGTGTCACTGTGTGTGTGTGTGTCACTGTGTGTGTCACTAGGTTTGTGACATTGGTGATGCTTCCCGTGGATCTCTCTCCTCCTACGGCTACATCCTGATGTGTCACTGTGTGTGTCACTGTGTGTGTGTGTGTGTGTCACTGTGTGTGTCACTAGGTTTGTGACATTGGTGATGCTTCCCGTGGATCTCTCTCCTCCTACGGCTACATCCTGATGTGTCACTGTGTGTGTCACTGTGTGTGTGTGTGTCACTGTGTGTGTGTGACACTGTGTGTGTGTCACTGTGTGTGTGTGTGTCACTGTGTGTGTGTGTGTCACTGTGTGTGTGTGTGTCACTGTGTGTGTGTCACTGTGTGTGTGTGTCACTGTGTGTGTGTGTCACTGTGTGTGTCACTGTGTGTGTGTGTCACTGTGTGTGACACTGTGTGTGTGTCACTGTGTGTGTGTGTCACTGTGTGTGTGTCACTGTGTGTGTGTCACTGTGTGTGTGTGTCACTGTGTGTGTGTCACTGTGTGTGTGTCACTGTGTGTGTGTGTCACTGTGTGTGTGTCACTGTGTGTGTGTGTCACTGTGTGTGTGTGTCACTGTGTGTGTGTCACTGTGTGTGTGTGTGTTACTGTGTGTGTGTGTCACTGTCTGTGTGTGTGTGACACTGTGGGTGTGTGTAACACTATATATGTATGTGTATGTGTGTGTCACTGTGTGTGTGTGTCACTGTGTGTGTGTCACTGTGTGTGTCACTGTGTGTGTGTCACTGTGTGTGTGTGTCACTGTGTGTGTGTCACTGTGTGTGTGTGTCACTGTGTGTGTGTGTCACTGTGTGTGTGTGTGTCACTGTGTGTGTGTGTCACTGTGTGTGTGTGTCACTGTGTGTGTGTCACTGTGTGTGTGTGTCACTGTGTGTGTGTCACTGTGTGTGTGTCACTGTGTGTGTCACTGTGTGTGTCACTGTGTGTGTGTGTGTCACTGTGTGTGTGTCACTGTGTGTGTGTGTGTATCACTGTGTGTCTCTAGGTGTGTGATATTGGCGATGCTTCCCGTGGATCTCTCTCCTCCTACGGCTACATCCTGATGTGTCACTGTGTGTGTCACTGTGTGTGTGTCACTGTGTGTGTGTGTCACTGTGTGTGTGTGTGTCACTGTGTGTGTGACACTGTGTGTGTGTGTGTCACTGTGTGTGTGTCACTGTGTGTGTGTGTGTCACTGTGTGTGTGTCACTGTGTGTGTGTGTGTCACTGTGTGTGTGTCTAGGTGTGTGACATTGGCGATGCTTCCCGTGGATCTCTCTCCTCCTACGGCTACATTCTGATGCTGCTCTACTTCCTGCAGCAGCGTCAGCCGCCAGTAGTCCCTGTCCTGCAACAGGTACCAAGGCACTGGTATCTGTAGTATCAGTACTACTAGTAGTAGTATCAGTACTACTAATAGTAGTATCAGTAGTGTCAGTAGTATCACTACTACTAGTATCAGTAGTACCAGTAGTCCCTGTCCTGCAACAGGTACCAAGGCACTGGTATCTGTAGTATCAGTACTACTAGTAGTAGTATCAGTACTACTAATAGTAGTATCAGTAGTGTCAGTAGTATCACTACTACTAGTATCAGTAGTACCAGTAGTCCCTGTCCGGCAGCAGGTACCAAGGCACTGGTACCTGTAGTACCAGTACTACTAATAGTAGTATCAGTACTACTAGTATCAGTAGTATCTGTAGTGTCATCAGTAGTAGTGTCAGTAGTGTCACTACTACTAGTATCAGTAGTACCAGTAGTCCCTGTCCTGCAGCAGGTACCAAGGCACTGGTACCTGTAGTATCAGTACTACTAGTAGTAGTAGTATCAGTACTATTAATAGTAGTATCAGTAGTATCTGTAGTGTCATCAGTAGTAGTGTCAGTAGTATCAGTAGTACCTGTAGTATCAGTAGTGTCACTACTACTAGTATCAGTAGTGTCACTACTACTAGTATCAGTAGTATCAGTAGTCCCTGTCCTGCAGCAGGTACCAAGGCGCTGGTATCTGTAGTATCAGTACTACTAATAGTAGTATCAGTAGTATCAGTAGTGTCAGTACTACTAGTAGTAGTATCAGTAGTACTAGTAGTATCAGTACTACTAGTAGTAGTGTCAGTAGTATCAGTACTACTAATAGTAGTATCAGTACTACTAGTAGTAGTATCAGTACTACTAGTAGTAGTATCAGTAGTATCAGTACTACTAGTAGTAGTATCAGTAGTATCAGTACTACTAGTAGTAGTATCAGTAGTATCTGTAGTGTCAGTACTACTAGTATCAGTAGTATCAGTACTACTAGTAGTAGTATCAGTACTAGTGGTATCAGTAGTGTCAGTACTACTAGTAGTAGTATCAGTACTACTAGTAGTAGTGTCAGTAGTAGTAGTATCAGTACTAGTAGTATCAGTAGTATCAGTACTAGTAGTATCAGTAGTATCAGTACTAGTAGTATCAGTAGTATCAGTACTAGTAGTAGTATCAGTACTAGTAGTATCAGTAGTATCAGTACTAGTAGTATCAGTAGTATCAGTACTAGTAGTAGTATCAGTACTAGTAGTATCAGTAGTATCAGTACTAGTAGTATCAGTACTAGTAGTATCAGTACTAGTAGTATCAGTAGTAGTATCAGTAGTATCAGTACTAGTAGTATCAGTAGTATCAGTACTAGTAGTATCAGTACTAGTAGTATCAGTACTAGTAGTATCAGTACTAGTAGTATTAGTAGTATCAGTAGTAGTAGTATCAGTAGTATCAGTACTAGTAGTATCAGTAGTATCAGTACTAGTAGTATCAGTACTAGTAGTATCATCAATAGTAGTTTCATCAGTAATAGTATCATCAGTAGTAGTAGTAGTATCAGTACTAGTAGTATCAGTAGTAGTATCATCATTATCAGTAGTAGTATCATCATCATCAGTAGTATCATCATCATCATCATGAGTAGTATCATCATCAGTAGTATCATCAGTAGTAGTATCATCAGTAGTAGTATCAATAGTAGTAGTATCATCATCAGTAGTAGTATCATCATCATCAGTAGTAGTATCATCATCAGTAGTAGTATCATCATCATCAGTAGTAGTATCATCATCAGTACTATCATCATCAGTAGTAGTATCATCATCAGTAGTAGTATCATCATCATCAGTAGTAGTATCATCATCAGTACTAGTATCATCATCAGTAGTAGTATCATCATCAGTAGTAGTATCATCATCAGTAGTAGTAGTATCATCAGTAGTAGTAGTAGTAGTATCATCAGTAGTAGTATCATCAGTAGTAGTATCATCAGTAGTAGTATCATCAATACTAGTAATATCATCAATAGTCATAGTATCATCAGTAGTATCATCAGTAGTATCATCATCAGTAGTATCATCATCAGTAGTATCATCATCAGTAGTATCATCAATACTAGTAATATCATCAATAGTCGTAGTATCATCAGTAGTATCATCATCATCAGTAGTAGTATCATCAATAGTAGTATCATCAATAGTAGTAGTATTATCATCGTCCCCGTGTCTCTTTCCCCGTGTCTCTCTCTCCCCCCGTGTGTCTCTCTCCCCGTGTCTCTCTCTCTCCCCGTGTCTCTCTCTCTCCCCGTGTCTCTCTCTCTCCCCGTGTCTCTCTCTCCCCGTGTGTCTCTCTCCCCGTGTCTCTCTCTCTCCCCGTGTCTCTCTCTCTCCCCGTGTCTCTCTCTCTCCCCGTGTCTCTCTCTCTCCCCGTGTCTCTCTCTCTCCCCGTGTCTCTCTCTCTCCCCGTGTCTCTCTCTCTCCCTGTGTCTCTCTCTCTCCCCGTGTCTCTCTCTCTCCCCGTGTCTCTCTCTCTCCCCGTGTCTCTCTCTCCCCGTGTCTCTCCCCGTGTCTCTCTCTCTCCCCGTGTCTCTCTCTCTCCCCGTGTCTCTCTCTCTCCCCGTGTCTCTCTCTCTCCCCGTGTCTCTCTCACCCCGTGTCTCTCTCTCTCCCCGTGTCTCTCTCTCTCCCCGTGTCTCTCTCTCTCTCTGTCTCTCTCTCCCCGTGTCTCTCTCCCCGTGTCTCTCTCTCCCCGTGTCTCTCCCCCCCCGTGTCTCTCCCCCCCCGTGTCTCTCCCCGTATCTCTCTCTCTCTCCCCGTGTCTCTCTCTCTCCCCGTGTCTCTCTCTCTCTCTCCCCGTGTCTCTCTCTCTCCCCGTGTCTCTCTCTCTCTCCCCGTGTCTCTCTATCTCCCCGTGTCTCGCTCACTCCCCGTGTCTCTCTCCCCGTGTCTCTCTCTCTCCCCGTGTCTCTCTCTCTCCCGTGTGTCTCTCTCTCCCGTGTGTCTCTCTTTCCCCGTGTCTCTCTCTCCCCGTGTCTCTCTCTCTCTCCGTGTCTCTCTCTCTCTCCGTGTCTCTCTCACCTTGTCTCTCTCCCCGTGTCTCTCTCACCGTGTCTCTCTCCCCGTGTCTCTCTCCCCGTGTCTCTCTCCCCGTGTCTCTCCCCGTGTCTCTCTCCCCGTGTCTCTCTCACCGTGTCTCTCCCCGTGTCTCTCACCGTGTCTCTCACCGTGTCCCCGTGTCTCTCTCCCCGTGTCTCTCTCCCCGTGTCCCCGTGTCTTTCTCCCCGTGTCTCTCTCCCCGTGTCTCTCTCCCCGTGTCTCTCTCCCCGTGTCTCTCCCCGTGTCTCTCCCCGTGTCTCTCTCTGTGTCTCTCCCCATGTCCCCGTGTCTCTCTCCCCGTGTCTCTCCCCGTGTCTCTCTCTGTGTCTCTCCCCGTGTCTCTTTCTGTGTCTCTCCCCGTGTCTCTCTCCCTGTGTCTCTCTCCCCGTGTCTCTCTCCCCGTGTCTCTCTCACCGTGTCTCTCTCCCCGTGTCTCTCTCCCCGTGTCTCTCTCCCCGTGTCCCCGTGTCTCTCCCCGTGTCTCTCTCACCGTGTCTCTCTCCCTGTGTCTCTCCCCCCGTGTCTCTCTCCCCGTGTCTCTCTCCCTGTGTCTCTCCCCGTGTCTCTCTCCCCGTGTCTCTCCCCCCGTGTCTCTCTCCCCGTGTCTCTCTCCCTGTGTCTCTCCCCGTGTCTCTCTCCCCGTGTCTCTCTCCCCGTGTCTCTCTCTCTCTCTCACCGTGTCCCCGTGTCTCTCCCCGTGTCTCTCTCACCGTGTCTCTCCCCCCGTGTCTCTCTCCCCGTGTCTCTCCCCGTGTCTCTCTCCCCGTGTCTCTCTCACCGTGTCTCTCCCCGTGTCTCTCCCCCCGTGTCTCTCTCCCCGTGTCTCTCCCCGTGTCTCTCTCCCCGTGTCTCTCCCCGTGTCTCTCTCCCCTTGTCCCCGTGTCTCTCTCACCGTGTCCCCGTGTCTCTCTCCCCGTGTCTCTCTCTCCCCGTGTCTCTCTCCCCGTGTCTCTCTCCCCGTGTCTCTCTCTCTCCCTGTCTCTCTCTCTCTCCCCGTGTCTCTCTCCCCGTGTCTCTCTCCCCGTGTCTCTCTCCCCGTGTCTCTCTCCCCGTGTCTCTCTCCCCGTGTTTCTCTCCCCGTGTCTCTCCCCGTGTCTCTCTCCCCGTGTCTCTCTCACCGTGTCTCTCCCCGTGTCTCTCACCGTGTCTCTCACCGTGTCCCCGTGTCTCTCTCCCCGTGTCTCTCCCCGTGTCCCCGTGTCTCTCTCCCCGTGTCTCTCTCCCCGTGTCTCCCTCCCCGTGTCTCTCTCCCCGTGTCTCTCTCCCCGTGTCTCTCTCCCCGTGTCTCTCTCCCCGTGTCTCTCCCCGTGTCTCTCTCTGTGTCTCTCCCCGTGTCCCCGTGTCTCTCTCCCCGTGTCTCTCCCCGTGTCTCTCTCTGTGTCTCTCCCCGTGTCTCTCTCCCCGTGTCTCTCTCTGTGTCTCTCCCCGTGTCCCCGTGTCTCTCTCCCCGTGTCTCTCCCCGTGTCTCTCTCCCCGTGTCTCTCTCACCGTGTCTCTCACCGTGTCTCTCTCCCCGTGTCTCTCTCACCGTGTCTCTCTCACCGTGTCTCTCTCCCCGTGTCTCTCTCACCGTGTCTCTCTCACCGTGTCTCTCTCCCCGTGTCTCTCTCTCACCGTGTCTCTCTCTCACCGTGTCTCTCTCCCCGTGTCTCTCTCCCCGTGTCTCTCTCCCCGTGTCTCTCTCTCTCCCCGTGTCTCTCTCTCTCCCCGTGTCTCTCTCTCTCCCCGTGTCTCTCTCTCCCCGTGTCTCTCTCCCCGTGTCTCTCTCCCCGTGTCTCTCTCCCCGTGTCTCTCTCCCCGTGTCTCTCTCCCCGTGTCTCTCTCCCTTTGTCTCTCTCCCCGTGTCTCTCTCCCCGTGTCTCTCTCTCTCTGTGTCTCTCCCCGTGTGTCTCTCCCCGTGTCTCTCTCTGTGTCTCTCCCCGTGTCCCCGTGTCTCTCTCCCCGTGTCTCTCTCCCCGTGTCTCTCTCTACCCGTGTCTCTCTCCCCTTGTCTCCATGTCTCTCTCCCCGTGTCTCTCTCCCCGTGTCTCTCTCCCCGTGTCTCTCTCCCCGTGTCTCTCTCCCCGTGTCTCTCTCCCCGTGTCTCTCTCCCCGTGTCTCTCTCCCCATGTCTCTCTCCCCGTGTCTCTCTCCCCGTGTCTCTCTCCCCGTGTCTCTCTCCCCGTGTCTCTCTCCCCGTGTCTCTCTCCCCGTGTCTCTCTCACCGTGTCTCCGTGTCTCTCTCCCCGTGTCTCTCTCCCCGTGTCTCTCTCACCATGTCTCCGTGTCTCTCTCCCCGTGTCTCTCTCACCGTCTCTCTCCCCGTGTCTCTCTCACCGTCTCTCTCCCCGTGTCTCTCTCCCCGTGTCTCTCTCCCCGTGTCTCTCTCCCCGTGTCCCCGTGTCTCTCCCCGTGTCTCTTTCCCCGTGTCTGTCTCTCTCCCCGTGTCTCTCTCACCGTGTCTCTCACCGTGTCTCTCCCCGTGTCTCTCCCCGTGTCTCTCCCCGTGTCTCTCCCCGTGTCCCCGTGTCTCTCTCCCCGTGTCTCTCCCCGTGTCTCTCTATGTGTCTCTCCCCGTGTCTCTCTCCCCGTGTCTCTCTCTGTGTCTCTCCCCGTGTCTCTCTCCCCGTGTCTCTCTCCCCGTGTCTCTCTCCCCGTGTCTCTCTCACCGTGTCTCTCTCCCCGTGTCTCCGTGTCTCTCACCGTGTCCCCGTGTCTCTCTCCCCGTGTCTCTCTGCAGCTGTACGAGGGAGCTGATCAGGGCAAGCCGCCTCCAGTGGTCTCTGTGGACGGCTGGAACGCTTACTACTTTAGTGACATCAAACAGCTGGTAACTATCACTAACTAGCACTATAACTAGTACTAACTATAACTAGTACTAACTATCACTATCTATCACTATCACTAACTATCACTATCACTAACTACTACTTTAGTGACATCAAACAGCTGGTAACTATCACTAACTAGCACTATAACTAGTACTAACTATAACT